ATTAACGTATAGTACAAACTGTCACCACTCTCTACAGGAGACGGCCTTTACGTATAGTACAAATTGTCACCACTCTCTTCAGGAGACGACATTAACGTATAGTACAAACTATCACCACTCTCTACAGGAGACGACATTAACGTATAGTACAAACTATCACCACTCTTTGCAAAGGCTGTATTACTAAATAGGATCAATCTTATCAAGCGTTTCATTTGGGATTAAAATTACACGAATTTCAGTTTTTCTTAAACGAATTACAATAAACTCTTAAATTATAAACATGTGAAGTGGGTATGAATAGGTGTAATCCACCTACTACATTTAATCCAATCAATAAATAACCAATTCGCTAACAAGATTATTATTACGTTAATGTACTAAAACGATTTAAAAAATATAGTGTATCAAAACACGGTAAGGTGTAGCGGGGTGTCTGTCCATGCTCATGTTGGCGACGGTAAGTACAAAATACTTTCTATTTTAATGAAGTATAAAATGATCAGACGACATGTTGTAGGGTGACTGAGTAGTATCCTTCCAAACTATACTCTAATCAAGTGTGACAGACGTATCCTTAAATAATTGAAAGTGCTCACCATGTTTTCCTTGAAGAGATTGGCTCTATGATTCTTAATGCAAGGACTCAAATGTGACCGTTATTTTACAGCCGTGAAGCCTCAGTAAGTTTAATATAACCAATCAACCCATACGTCATCCTACGTCAGGTTTACACCTACAGTATGCCAATAACTGTCACCTTATTATATATAATAGTATATATATATTTGTACTAATTTGTATGAAAAGCGTGACAAATTCAATTCAGGATCGTTAAGCTCAAAACGTGTTCCTTTTTTCTGTGTTGGTTCGTGTTATAACTTAATGCTGGTGACAGTTTGTACTATACGCTTTGGTTTGTGTGTTCCTGTGTGTTGACGCTTTGTTTTGTGTGTTCCTGTGCGGTGACGCTTTGTTTTGTGTGTTCCTGTGTGTTTTCGCTTTGTGATGTGTGTTCCTGTGTTTGGTCGCATTGTTTTGTGTGTTCCTGTGTGTTGACGATTTGGTTTGTGTGTTCCTGTGTGTTGTCGCTTTGTTTTGTGTGTTCCTGTGCGTTGACGCTTTGTTTTGTGTGTTCCTGTGTGTTTTCCCTTTGTTATGTGTGTTCCAGTGTTTTGTCGCTTTTTTTGTATGTTTCTGTGCGTTGACGCTTTGTTTAGTGTGTTCCTGTGTGTTGACGCTTTGTTTTGTGTGTTCCTGTGTGTTGTCGCTTTGTTTTGTTTATTCCTGTGTGTTGTCGCTTTGTTTTGTGTGTTCCTGTGTGGTTTTGCCTTGTTTTGTGTGTTCCTGTGTGTTGACGCTTTGTTTTGTGTGTTCCTGTGTGTTGACGCTTTGTTTTGTTTGTTCCTGTGTGTTGACGCTTTGGTTTGTGTGTTTCTGTGTGTTGACGCTTTGTTATGTGTGGTCCTGTGTTTTGTCGCTTTGTTTTGTGTGTTCCTGTGTGTTTTTGCTTTGTTTTGTCTGTTCCTGTGTTTTGTCGCTTTGTTTTGTGTGTTCCTGTGTGTTTTTGCTTTGTTTTGTGTGTTCCTGTGTGTTGACGCTTTGTTTTGTGTGTTCCTGTGTGTTAACGCTTTAGTTTGTGTGTTTCTGTGTGTTGACGCTTTGTTATGTGTGGTTCTGTGTTTTGTCGCTTTGTTTTGTGTGTTCCTGTGTGTTTTCGCTTTGTGATGTGTGTTCCTGTGTTTTGTCGCATTGTTTTGTGTGTTCCTGTGTGTTGTCGCTTTGTTTTGTGTGTTCCTGTGCGTTGACGCTTTGTTTTGTGTGTTCCTGTGTGTTTTCCCTTTGTTATGTGTGTTCCAGTGTTTTGTCGCTTTTTTTGTATGTTTCTGTGCGTTGACGCTTTGTTTAGTGTGTTCCTGTGTGTTGACGCTTTGTTTTGTGTGTTCCTGTGTGTTTTCGCTTTGTTTTGTATATTCCTATGTGTTGACGCTTTGGTTTGTGTGTTTCTGTGTGTTGACGCTTTGTTATGTGTGGTCCTGTGTTTTGTCGCTTTGTTTTGTGTGTTCCTGTGTGTTTTTGCTTTGTTTTGTCTGTTCCTGTGTTTTGTCGCTTTGTTTTGTGTGTTCCTGTGTGTTTTTGCTTTGTTTTGTGTGTTCCTGTGTGTTGACGCTTTGTTTTGTGTGTTCCTGTGTGTTGACGCTTTGTTTTGTGTGTTCCTGTGTGTTGACGCTTTGTTTTGTGTGTTCCTGTGTGTTGACGCTTTGTTTTGTGTGTTCCTGTGTGTTGACGCTTTGTTTTGTGTGTTCCTGTGTGTTGACGCTTTGTTATATTGGTATTTGTGCCTGGACGCGTTTATTTATTTTATACTTAAATGATTTCACTTTGTATTTTGTCTTGTGTGTTTAATACTTTCGTAGTCTTTGTGCTTGTTTACGTTTGAGCATATGGTATACTTTGTCATTTTGTATTGGCGCTGGTCTGTTATATATATATTTAATTTATACTCGTCAGTGCAGCGAGATACAATGGATAACTTTACATCAACTAACATTTTTACATGTATAACAACTACTATTGTCAAACATTGTGGGTTGAAGGTATATGGTTTATACAGGTCGTACGCAAGATGTTTATTACTGGTTCCCGTTGTTTAACATTTACAAAATTAACTGTTTTTCGTGTTTTTCGTCACTAGTTTATAAGTAGGTGTTCTTCAGGCTGACTTGATTTACATTCGAACAATGTTTAAATACCGAAAGTTAGCGGGAAGCCTTTCTGTAATCCCTACCCTCCCACACAGACATAAGACAGGTACATGTTTGTCGGTATTAGGACGTTATATTACGTAAACAAGAATTATGTACAGTACGTGTCCCGTAACGTGACGTCACAGTACGTCGTGTACCCTACTTTTAGAAGCTGGTAATGAATCACTGAGAGGGAAAACCACTGAGGCGGTTTGTGTAAATGCCCGGATGTGTGGTACAAGCACACACGTACCACACAAGATAAAAAGCACATGTGATTCACTGTGAAATATACACCGAGTATTACACGGAGTGACAACACTTTCTTATTCAATACACGAGGATATTAGGTTAGGGTTGAAACTAAAGGTAAGTACACATAACATTTAATTGTCGATTGTATGTTTACAATACGTGGTGTACATGTAGTATTGTGTGACATATATAACCCAGTGTTTGGCTTGTCAGCTTCTGTTTATTTGTAGTTATCATGATGGCCAGTTACTTCGAGTATGGTCCTACGTATGGCTGTACTATTCAGCTGTGTACCGACATTATCAGAGATTAGTATACTGTGGGACCACAGGTTGATGACAGTCATTAACCTATATTTATATTAGGGGGTAACATCTGTACTCAGTAAATGTACGATATCGCTACTTTAAACTTATCAGCGTATCACACGAAACAGATACTACTTCTGATGGGTTTTCTTCTCCTAAAACTTGTAAGTAATTTCTGTTTATTTCGTTCTATTTACATAGTTTTGTTTGGAACTTTCTCTGATTTTGACAGCCCGTTTATGTACGCGACAATTTAGACCATTTCATTTATATAATATATTAGAAACGTTAATTGTTGTTTTTTGAGGGGACAGAAGTAACAGCATCAGAGAAACTCTAACAGTTGATGTGTATTTCTGTATTCTCGTGTGTCCTGTTGTTACAGCCAAGCCTGACACATACACATTATATCATTTATATATACATAGAAGTTCAGGTATACATACATTACGTTTACCTTGAACACACACCGGGTAAATTAAAGGTTTCTACCTATAGTGGTTGAGTTCTACACATTCAGGTTGACCAAGCACACGAAACTTAAATCCCTCAGACATATATCTAACAAAGAGGTACTCACCATCTTACCTGTCATTATATGTAACTGCAGATACCTGTATTCAGAATCACGCACGCTTAATTTGAACTATTCAACTTCTCTTTTTTAGACAGAGCGATAATACATGTACATAATACATTGCAGCGATGAAAAACATTCTCCATTTTGTTTACAGGTCATGTAATCTTGGCAACAAAATGATGTACACTGGCGAAGTAATGCATTTTTTCATGTGTTATGTACTAGATATAAAATGCAGTATGTACATGTACATGTAGCTACGCCCTTGTGTCCATGGCATCGTACGCCTTGACCCGATGTAGGGACTACAGGCGACACACATCATTGATTGTACGAACGTATGACATCATATTTAGGTATTGTGAAATAATTGAAGTAGAATACTGATGATGATGTTGAGACATTGTACTAACGCACTGCCCCCTCATTAGTCATATTACAGATATTTCCCGTTAAAACAGCAGAGTTACACTTCAAGTTCAGTGTTAGATACGTGTGGCATTAGTCCATAGTTGCTCTCTTATATACGTGACGAACCTACCAGTGACATTATAGAGAGGAGTATATACGTGACGAACCTACCAGTGAAAATATAGAGAGGAGTATATACGTGACGAACCTACCAGTGACATTATCGAGAGGAGTATATACGTGACGAACCTACCAGTGGCATTATAGAGAGGAGTATATACGTGACGAACCTACAAGTGACATTATAGAGAGGAGTATATACGTGACGAACCGACCAGTGACATTATAGAGAGGAGTATATACGTGACAAACCTACCACTGACATTATAGAGACGAGTATATACGTGACCAACCTACCAGTGACATTATAGAGAGGAGAATATACGTGACGAACCTATCAGTGACATTATAGAGAGGAGTATATACGTGACCAACCTACCAGTGACATTATAGAGAGGAGTATATACGAGACGAACCTACCAGTGACATTATAGAGAGGAGGATATACGTGACGAACCTACCAGTGACATTATAGAGAAGAGAATATACGTGACGAACCTACCAGTGACATTATAGGGAGGAGTATATACGTGACGATCCTACCAGTGACATTATAGAGAGGAGTATATACGAGACGAACCTACCAGTGACATTATAGAGAGGAGGATATACGTGACGAACCTACCAGTGACATTATAGAGAGGAGTATATCCGTGACAAACCTACCAGTGACATTATAGAGACGAGTATATACGTGACCAACCTACCAGTGACATTATAGAGAGGAGAATATACGTGACGAACCTACCAGTGACATTATAGAGACGAGTATATACGTGACGAACCTACCAGTGACATTATAGGGAGGAGTATATACGTGACGATCCTACCAGTGACATTATAGAGAGGAGTATATACGAGACGAACCTACCAGTGACATTATAGAGAGGAGGATATACGTGACGAACCTACCAGTGACATTATAGGGAGGAGTATATACGTGACGATCCTACCAGTGACATTATAGAGAGGAGTATATACGAGACGAACCTACCAGTGACATTATAGAGAGGAGGATATACGTGACGAACCTACCAGTGACATTATAGAGAGGAGTATATACGTGACGAACCTATCAGTGACATTATAGAGAGAAGAATATACGTGACGAACCTACCAGTGGCATTATAGAGAGGAGTATATACGTGACGAACCTACCAGTGACATTATAGAGAGGAGTATATACGTGACAAACCTACCAGTGACATTATAGAGACGAGTATATACGTGACCAACCTACCAGTGACATTATAGAGAGGAGTATATACGTGACGAACCTACCAGTGACATTATAGAGAGGAGTGTGTGTTATGTGTTTAGACTTGTCAAGTACGTCCACGAATTACATTCTTATCAAGGGCCTAAACGTGTGTGTAGCCACTGGTCTGGGATCAAGGGATACACTATAGTATTTATAACAGGGTCGAATAAAGGGGGAGGGGCTGGGGGAATTTACGTTGACAGTAAGGGTAATGTGATAAGCCTTGAAGAAAGGGAGTAGGTGAGAAGCTTCTAAAGAACGGCGAGGGGAACATACCACAGGATATTGATGCGAGACCATCCTAAGAGACCTCGGACTCGGTCGGACAAAACAAAATCTTTTCGGATAATGTTTGAAAGTACCTTCGATAAAATTTAAATTACACGAAAGTAATCTTAGGCCAAATATGATATCTGTAACGTTTTTCGGCTCCCATGCAATAAATCAGAATAATAGGTACAACATACATAGGAAAACGTTTCATTTCGTCGGAAAAAAATCTTATGAATAGACTTCAGTGTCATTATCATAAAGAATCAGCGGCATCGAAGTGACTGTTTGAGATATGCTAAGTAATATGACATAAGCCACGCAAAACTAGGCATGTTCGGAAACTTTAAACACGTACTTTTATTTTCGAGTATAACACAGACTTTTATGACAATGCGTAAAGAAATATCTTCTATACTTTGTTTCATCTATCTTTCAGACTATTTATTAATAATATTTGGTTAGCAGCGTCAAGCCGCACATTCCCGTTATTTATACGTTTAAGTCTGGTTCGTCTTTAAACAAAACCATTTAAGATGCTAGTTAGATAACTCCGTATGTGTGGAACACCGGTCAAAGTGTCCCGTCAGGTAAGATAGCTATCGTGGAATGATAATGGTGAACACTTTCCATATCTGTGGACGTCACTGCCCCAAGGAAACACCTGTAGACATATGTAGACATACGTATGCTTATTTTTATATATAATGTACACAACACCTGATGAGACGGAACGGTGATGTAATCGTTATGTACAGTATATCAGACCAATCCCTATCTCATAGTGTAATCAGCAAATAAATGTAAACAAATACAAAACAAGGTTATTAAAATACTGGGCCCGTATTCATGAAACCGTTCTCATGCTCAAGCATGGGTTTTGTGCTCAAGCCTACTTTCTTGTTTTCAGTAATATATTGATAAACAAATCTTATTTTGTCAATGATTCGCAAAAAATTAGAAAGTCTTCAAGCCAAATACTGTATTCAGTGAACATTCACATTTGCTTTTTAACTGTTTTACATGATTTAAGTGAGTTGCAAGAAAAACTGGTTTGAGCACAGAATCCGAGCTTGAGCACGATAACGGTTTCATGACTACGGGTCTTAGTCTAGCACAACAAGGCACATCAGAAACGGGAATATGAAACAAAGGATAACTAGTATTAACTACTGTGAATATGTGATGTTTTTCTCTCCATACGGAATAGCTATCGTCTATACGAACGTACATTGTAAATCTCTATTTTGTATGTTTCTGTCCCTACCTGTTGTTTTAAATTATGCATATAGTATTTGAATACCACAGAAAGGAAGTACACGTCAACCTAGAGTATACTTCATTTTCAGTAGCCACACAATGGTTTGTAACAAATATAACTCGATATTATAAGCTACTGATGATATCCATACACATTCTTATGTGAAAAAGAAAGCAGATTAACATTCTAATTGATGGTTAACGATTTATTGCTAAAAGTTTAGTAACAATGTAAACCTAAACTTAGGAATGTGAAACGATTGGATTAACCAAAAAAATACAGATAACGCGAAGACTAATTCATTTCAGCTTTAGCATATTTGATAATTGTAAAACGTATGTAATGATATCAAGCGATAATCGCAAATACGTTTTATATTTTCGTAGTGAAGGGATATCAGATACATGTTAGTTTAAGTCGGTGTGGAAAAGTACGTTTAAACTTGAATGATTGTAAGTGGGTCAACCACCTTAACGAAATCATTTTAGTTAAAACTGACAGAGGGATGACACCTTCTAACGGCTGTACGAATACATATAAACACGACCATTAAATATGTATGTCTATTATTGTAGATACATATTTAAGGTCGTGTGATAAAACAACAACTCTGAGCACACCGTGGGTAAATCCCATTACTATTCAGATTATATTCTCACCCAAACACATGTTAGTATAACAATAAACACATACATATATATAAACTTTATTTATTTTACAACAATTATTGAACAAGCTATTTCAACTTGTTAGTGTATTAAACAAGAGGTGACATATGTCCAACAAACCTTAACACAGCGGAATACACATGTACACAATACATGTTAGATGTATCTTTGGTATGTTCTGCCCCTTATTAAAGGCCACTTGCTATAATGGATGTAGAACCACAATGTAGTGTGC